CCCCAATAACATAATGAATTGAAATAAGTGACATAATTATCACAAAGCAGTTGTTATAATGTATATTGTGTATAATTTATATTTCACATATCGGATGAAATCCATGGAATTTAGGATCAAATCCGATCGTATGCGTGTTTTATAAATAGGGCCCATGGCTGCTTGTTATATCTATGAGCTCTGGTGTCATGCACACAAAAATCTAGGACAGACACTGTATTTATATAAATGCTATTTTGGGGGGAAATCTCACATCACTAAGGACAACATCTCTGCTAATGAGTCAGTGTGGATCCTTATCATTCCTCTTCCTGAGTTCTGAGAAAGAAAATTGAACAGGATGTGATTGTGGAGCTTCTAAAGGCTCCATCCTCATTCAGTTCTGTAACTCACGTGGATAGATGCAGCTCAGCACAATAGAAACCAGCCTGCTCCATCAGACACTCCAACGCCTGAAAGAGTACAAGCAAAGCTCTGTGTCAACAAGCCTGAGCGGCCAGTTTGCTGAGAGGACAGTATCTGCTGATACAACAAGACTTAGTCAGTAAGAGAGGGCAAAAGAAAGGCTGATGAAACTGCAGCAGGAATTAGGTCACTGTGACAAACTGTGCTTTATTAAACAAAAAGTAACTCCCAATATTAGTTTACCGCAAAATTATAATTCTGCCATCATTTACTCACCCTCATGTCAATGAAAACCTGTATGACTTTCTGCCATGCAACACAAAGAATTATTGAAAACTGTGCTGGCTGCACTTTCCATGCAATTACAATTCAATTATTCAAATAAGGAATAATGAATGATTTTGGTATTTTTTTCCTTGCACAAAGAAATTGAGACTTCAGAAGACATGTCTTTTTAATGCATGGAACTTGTGAAGACAAATTATAACAATTGTATTTCCACTGTAGTAAGTGTTGTATCTAATTATAATGAAATCATGCCATGTCAATATAGCACATGGGTCGAAGTTTCTGATAGATTTATGGTGTTTTTGCATCATTTTTTAAAGCTTCAGTCCCCATTCATTGTAGACGAAGACTGTATATATGCACCAAGACTGTTAACGCATATTACTATGATTAGGAGAAACTGCAATGCGCAATAAAGCTGATATAAATCCTGCCTTCTAAATAAAAGACCCAACTTACACATTTCCAGATGTTCCTACAGTTTTTCAGAATAAATCTGAGTACATACGTAACTGGTGAATCATGATTTATTCATTCAAACATTCATACGCAGGTTTAATAAAGAAATTTGCCCAACATTTGTGGGATAGTTCATGTTTGATTTTATTCCTGATTTGAAATGTTATTTAAATCTGAGTTTGGCAAGCAGTTTTTGAGATTTAAATATTTCCCCATTCAAGTAGATAAGAGATGACATTGCATGCCTAAAGTTACCCAAATGGCCGCTAAATGACTTTCCTTGAAAGGGACTTTGTTGTAAACGTGAAAAAGATCAATCAGCACAATCTTCAGAACTTCTCCTTTTGTGTTCCACAGAAGAAAGGAAATCATAAGGGGATGAGTAAATGATGACAGATTTTAATTTTTGGATGACCTATTCCTTCAAATCCACAAACTTCACTTGCAAAGATCTCCACCCTGAAAACACATTAGGCCTGTCTTGATTACAAAGCACATTAAGCTCAGAAGAGCAGACAGGACGTAGTCTTCTCGACAGCGATCTCAGCAGCAGCAAAATAACACAACAGATCCACCCATCCTCTCTCGCAGTCAAGCGTAAAGATGAGACATCAACGAATAAGATCATTTTCAGGAGTCTGCAATTCTCAGGTCTTCTCCGCCAGATTCCCCAACACCCTTTCCCACGAGCCTATGGGGCTGTGATCTATTGGAATGCCTACTCGGCCAATTTCATTCCCACTGCGGCCAGGTCTGGAATTCCCAGAGAGGGCCAGAGCTTGGAAAGTCTGACGGGAGACTTGAACACGACCCAGAATGTATGCGAAGCCTGTTATTATAGAAATGCTGAATCGTGTGGATGCAAATGATATGGGAGTGACAGAATTTAGTGTGTGACTTATTTCCACAGTTGGTGCAAAGCCAAAAACCAGTCAAATTTTAATGAAGCCATGCAAAACATGGCAGAGAGTGATAAAGAGAGAGAGAGAGATGGTGAAGAGACTTGAAAGGCAGTCTTTGTGATTCCACTTCTCTCCTTTCACTATGCCACTCAGTGAAGATGAAACAATTAATCAAAATGCACGACAAAAAAAGGCTCTCAAAGACGAAAACACCTTTAGCTAAAGAAAGTTTCTCTGCCATTGTAAACACAGACTCATTCTCCTTTATGAATGGACATCCACTTCCATCTGTATTCCAGTAGAAAGTCAATTAAGATGGATCTCGGGAAAAAAAGATCAACCCTTATAGCCTTTATACAAATAGCAATGGTTGTAACTGTAGGCAAAATGTTCCTTTTAATTAACTTTTAACATACTTAATTTAGAATGGCTGTACCAATATCAGTTGATCTGGATCTATGATAATACTCGCAAGCACTAAGAAACATGTCTTTTGATTGCATGAAGTTTGTGAGGACAAATGATAAGAAATTACTTGTCTTTCTATTGTTGTAAGTTTTCCATCTAATAAATCATAATGCAATCATGCCATCAACATCCAAACCAACTCGGGGCCCATAAAAATATCATGCATTTCATATTTTGTTTTAGAAATGAGTCTTTAATAATTTGCATGCTTTGAAAGGGTTGGATGACCTTACTAAGCAGCACCAGTCCATGCAATGAAATGACCAGCATTTATGTCTGTTGTAAATATAGGTTTAGATCCCAAAAACATAAATGCACTCAACAAAAATATTTAAGAACATGAGCACTGAGCTCATCAAAGAATTAACGCATGCCTTTAAGTGAATGATTTCATGGAGCTATTGCGCAACGCTTTAACATAAAATATAATTTCCACATATGAAATATATCTGTGCCACAAAAGGATAATGCATAAATGTAATATTTATTATTAATACAAATATTTATCATACCTTTCTTTGCAGTATCCAACCCAATAAACGCCCTCCGTTCACTCCATTCCCGCAGATGCGCGTGTGCCGGCGGACTCCACAGTGCGGCTGGATGTGGAGTCTTTACTCAAGCCAGCCAAAAGCCATTGGACTGTACCAACCGTATTAGCGAAGTGGGAGTGTGCCATATAGCTGAAATATTCTCCAGTTCGTATTTATAAAAGTAACTTACGTATTCAAATTAATAGACGCCTACTTAAGTTTAAAGAGTAAAAGTTTTAAATTGTGCTTGTAAACAAGTTTAAAGATACAAAACAGGGCGATACCACTGCAATCATCCCCTATCGCGAATGTTTGTCTAGATGCTTCGTAAGCGTGCGTGATCTTTTGAAGGCAGCGCACGCTTCTTTTGGGATAGGCGTGTCTAACAGAGCCAGCGGGAGAAACCCGAGACAGTAATAAGAGTTAAACAAGAGGACAGCTGGCGAATAGTGCTTTGGACTGTATGAATAGTGTCTGAAATGGCGCGCTGCCACACAACTTGATTGTTTTCTTGCGTGGTGACAAGCCCGATACTGTACAAAGTAATTTGCTGAAAGAGTTTGACGCAACTGCTGTCGGCATGTAAAGATATATACAATTTTGAGAGCACAACATGGCTCGAGTTTCTTCCTTCAAACGTTTCTTTGTCAATTTGCCTCCTGTTGTTACCTTCCTGATAAAGGCGGGCTACGGCAGATGGTCAGGCTTTCTTTCCTCGTGCCTCTCCCTGAATTTAAAGATCAGCTAATTAAACAGGGGCATTTCCATATGAAAGGAAGGGTCCGTGGAGATTTCTCTCCGCATTGGCGATGTGCAGAAGAGCCACCTGTAAATGCAAAGGCAACAAGACACCGAATCGATTTGGGAATTCTAGTGTAAGAAAGAAAGAAAGAAACAAACAAAAAAAATAAGTGTAAATAGTGAGTAAACTACAAAAGTAATTTTTCCATAAAAAAAGAAAAAGACCATGTTCTGGTGCTGACATATGGCTGGACATTGTCATTTGGTTGCTAGGGTATTCTGACTGGTTGCTAGGATGTAACTTACTTTTCAATATGAACGTCCCCATTAAGTCTATGACAGTTTGGTAACCTGCAGGACAAACATTGTATGTCAAATAGTATATTGTACAAGTCAAAAGTATTTATTTATTGGCTACTACCGTTTGATCATTGAAAAGGATGGAAAAAAAGTAATTATACAAGACATTAATAACTTTAATTGGACTCAAATTTACAGTACATTTAAATACAGTGCTTCGTTACTAAACTACATTACAGCTGTATGCCACTTAATTTCAACAGTCGACACCGAATCGATTTGGGAATTCTAGTGTAAGAAAGAAAGAAACAAACAAACAAAAAAAATAAGTGTAAATAGTGAGTAAACTACAAAAGTAATTTTTCCATAAAAAAAGAAAAAGAAAAAGACCATGTTCTGGTGCTGACATATGGCTGGACATTGTCATTTGGTTGCTAGGGTATTCTGACTGGTTGCTAGGATGTAACTTACTTTTCAATATGAACGTCCCCATTAAGTCTATGACAGTTTGGTAACCTGCAGGACAAACATTGTATGTCAAATAGTATATTGTACAAGTCAAAAGTATTTATTTATTGGCTACTACCGTTTGATCATTGAAAAGGATGGAAAAAAAGTAATTATACAAGACATTAATAACTTTAATTGGACTCAAATTTACAGTACATTTAAATACAGTGCTTCGTTACTAAACTACATTACAGCTGTATGCCACTTAATTTCAACAGTCTCTTATTATTTGAATAACTAAAAATGTCAAGGTGCATCTCTTATCCATAGACCATTCAGTTAGTTTATTCTGTCAACTGTATGCGACACAGCTTTTCTTTCACTCGTACAAATTCTGGAACGTTTTTCTCATCCTCCATACACCTCGGTTCCTCCATCTCATACTGTGGAGAAATATTCAAAACTGAACTTCACAAAAACACTAAAATATATGAAATACATAAGTCCATTCAACAAAATGCATAGACAGTTCATTCAAGACAATCAAAATGTATCGCCTTAGATCTGGCAAAATTCTTTTGACTTCCATTTCAGAAATGAGGAACATTAAGTGGACAGAGAATGGTCAGTACCTCCTGCAGTTTCTGCGGTCTCTTACGGAGCTCTTGTTCCAGGTTAGAAGGAGGTCGGAGGGCAAGTTCCTGCTCTCGGTGCAGGTCAAGCCTCCTTTGCTGTAGCGCACACTGCAATTCTGTTTTCTCCTCCAACAACAGGCCTCTGAAGAAAAAGGAAAAAAAAGTCAGTTTGTATGAATAAATGCAGGTAAGTGTAGGTTTGATGTCATTTAAAACTTTTCAACTTGATGTTTACTTTGCTTTGCTTTTATTAATTGTAAAGTACTGGGATATGTTGGCGTACTCCATTTGCAAAGTAAACATCTTTTAGATGTTACTCTTTACCTCTTGTGGCCGAGCAGAAGCTCCTTATGGAGATTCTGGTGACTGGGACACTCACCGGGTTTCCTGAGCTGAATGAACTCGTCTCCACTGTCTGTGCTTTGCTGGGACTCAGGAGGATGACACACATAATTCTCTGAAAAGACAGAGGATAAACATTTAGACTTATTTGAATGCCAGCAAATATTCAGTTATGATTTAACATTTGTTTACTTCAGAAGCAAATTGTAAGATATATACAATTATGTCTACATGTTTATGACAGATTATATGATGCAACATAAACTCAGGGCACAGTCAGTGCCTGTACCTTTTCTGTGATGTCTGAATCCTGGGCGCTGGAGAGAAAGTAAAAAGTATGAATTATATAAAATATTAATACACATTAATAAAAAGTATAAAAGTAAATAAATTCAGCCAAATGAATGGGTCACTTCTTAATACATTTAGCATGCAATTTAAAATGGAGTAACAGTGCCAGCATGTCCACCTGCTGAAGAAAGCACAGAATCAAATCAGCTCAGTGGACTGAGATGACATGAGTGTTGGCTTGATTTACTAACACAGAAGAACGAAGCAAAGATGGCCATTTATAGCTCAACACTGAGGCGTTCTTAAGTTAGTTTTGACCTCATGACCTCTGAATCACAGGATCTGAAATCATATGACTACAGCCAATGACAAAGGAAAGATGTTTGGATTTCCTTCGTAAGCATTAAATTATATACACAAACTTGAATATAGACTTGCAAAACTACTACTATTTATTAAATAAACATCAATAACTATTGAATTAAAATAAATAAATATATATAGCAAAAGACAGACACACTTTAGCATGAAACCCACAAAAAATGTATAATTTACTCGCATATGAAACATGTATCCTTGTCCTAGCCATGTTTAAATATAAGTTTTTTTTTTTTTTTGTGCTAAATGCTTTTATCCAAATTGACTTGCATTGTAGTCAAGTGACACATTACAGCTCTTTGTGCATTCCTTGTAAACCTCTGAATCTGGCATTGTTAGCACCATGATTTACAGGAACATTTTAGGAACTTAGACGAGTCCACGTCTTGAGATGTTAATCTTCTGGGGATCCTGCCCACAGCATAGCGTTTATAACCAAGACCAGGATAAACCAGCTTACTCTGGTCCTACAGTGCCACGCTCCGGGGCCATTTGTGTGTTAGCCACACCAAACACACTCCTGTCCCGTCTCCCCACTCCTGAAGCAACATGACATCGGACTACTGACTGAAATACATGACTCATGCAAATTATGATCAACATATTGTATAAAAGTTTGTGATAGGGTCATATAAAAACTACTTGCTGGGACTGACACCATTAAATGGGAGCAAATTTTAGTTTTAGTGTAAAGGTTAAGTGCATTGTTAATTCAACAACAAAACTCCAGAAACATTAAAATTTATGAAATAGATTTTATATTTGAAAGACAGAACCATTTCATGTGGTGTTCAAGGTAAATAGGCTTCATAAAATGCAGTGGATAACAGCTTTTCTAGGGTTCCCACTGCTTCATGGGACATTTACCTGAACACTACAGACATGCATACATATTTAAGTGTTGTTCCTCATAAAATGAACTATCGAAAAGTAACTGGATAACAAGAACATCCCCATACCTGCAGCATACATACAAAAATAAAAGCACTAACCTCAAGTTACTATCTCTGAAAGAGAGTGACTCTATCAAACGCCAACAATCATTTACGTAGGAATTCTTTTTTCAAGAACGCTCACCTCCACTCATACAGTTGATTGCTTTTTTGTTGTGTTCAGGTCCAACATTGTGCGACTATTGTCGAGACTGTGGCCTTCGGTGAGCGTTTGCTCTGTTTATGTTCAGTGATGCTTGTTGCAGACATTACGTTCAAGCTCATTACGCCATCCCAGATTAACCTGAACCTATACGAGGCAGGTAGGATGCCAGATTAACTAATTACCGATTTTAGTTTTAGTGTAAAGGTTAAGTGCATTGTTAATTCAACAACAAAACTCCAGAAACATTAAAATTTATTAAATAGATTTTATATTTGAAAGACAGAACCATTTCATGTGGTGTTCAAGGTAAATAGGCTTCATAAAATGCAGTGGATAACAGCTTTTCTAGGGTTCCCACTGCTTCATGGGACATTTACCTGAACACTACAGACATACATACATATTTAAGTGTTGTTCCTCATAAAATGAACTATCGAAAAGTAACTGGATAACAAGAACATCCCCATACCTGCAGCATACATACAAAAATAAAAGCACTAACCTCAAGTTACTATCTCTGAAAGAGAGTGACTCTATCAAACGCCAACAATCATTTACGTAGGATTCGTCAAATAAAAAAATATTTCTTTTTTCAAGAACGCTCACCTCCACGCATACAGTTGATTGCTTTTTTGTTGTGTTCAGGTCCAACATTGTGCGACTATTGTCGAGACTGTGGCCTTCGGTGAGCGTTTGCTCTGTTTATGTTCAGTGATGCTTGTTCCAAACATTACGTTCAAACTCATTACGCCATTCCAGATTAGCCTGAACCTATACGAGGCATGTAGGACGCCAGATTAACTAATTA